CCACCCCCCCCAAACCTCACCCGTCCCAATTTTTCAAAACCCCATAGAACCTAAACAGAAAAACAAACAGAGAAGTAATAAACGAAAATGTGAGGCAGCGTGGTGGAATCAGGCTCTCGTCAATTCTTGGTCATGTAGAGTTATCGGTATCATCTTAAAGCTTGTTCACTTGTCTTTATTTGGATTTTAAAAGTATCCATTTATCTTGAATACAAATCGAGATATTTGCGAAAGAAGGAGGTGTGGATCACTTGTTTTCAGAGATAAAATTAGTAAGAAAATGGCCGCCAAAGGTTAGTTATTTCCTTAGCTTAAGAGTCCGTGGCAACTGAAAATTTACATTTATTGTACCTTTAATCAACGTTTTTCAGAAAATTCCACACAGAAATGAGTTCTTTGATGGGCTTGAAAGGTGTTCACAAATCTGCAGAAAAATGCAAGTTTCTTCACTTTGATTATTTTGACGAGAGCCTGATTCCACCACGCTGCCTCACATATAGTAAAAGCGAAATAAAAGACGTTCGAGCCATCAACCAGTGCGTGTTCTTGTCTGCGAGGATCCCTATCACAGTGGCACGCTGGGAGAGTTGCTGCTCTTATTTTGTTTTGAAAAAAAAAACACCCATTCGCTTGGGGTTCGTTTGGACAGCGAATTAACTACAGCCACTTACTTGAGTTGTTCTTTTTGTGCACTTGTATACTTTGTACTGAGGCGGATCATCCTGCTATTTTTGTATACTTTGTACTGAGGCCGGTCATCCTGCTATTTGTGTATACTTTGTACTGAGGCGGGTCATCCTGCTATTTGTGTATACTTTGTACTGAGGCGGGTCATCCTGCTATTTGTGTATACTTTGTACTGAGGCGGGTCATCCTCTGTTTGCTACAGAAATACGGCTAGCCTGAGAACTATCTTCATCTGAATCAGATTCGAACATTAGCAAAAAGAACTCCTAAAAACACCAAACCCCCAAAAAGAAACCACAAACAAATTTTTAATAAACAAACTAACAAACAATAGCAATGGAGAGAGAGAGAGAGAGAGAGAGAGAGAGAGAGAGAGAGAGAGAGAGAGAGAGAGAGAGAGAGAGAGAGAGAGAGGGGGGGGGAAGGAAAAAAGAGACAGAGAGACAAACAAAAAGATAGACAGACATACAGACAGATAGTTTATATGACAGACAGTTTATGTGACAGACTGTTGCTGACAATTCAAGACACCGGGCATTGGCTTGGGAGCTGATGTAACATAAGACTTAGATCAGTACCGTTACATTTTCCGTACAGATTTGTCAGATTCTGGTACCATGTCGTGAACGCCATGTCATCACAGGAACACGTGAGAGTGTCGGGCAGGGACAGAGTGTGTAGTTTGTTTAGTGTCAACAGAGCCGGGGGTAAACGGACTAGGGGTGTGTATCTCAGGTTCAAATAGCTCAACTCATGGAGGTTCCTGAAGGCGTCGTCTGCGATTGTTTTGATTGGGTTTCCTGATAAATCCATGGTCGTTAATTTCGAAATGTTGTTTGAAAATTGTAGTGATGGAATTACTTCTATGTCGTTGTCTGAGATGTGGAGATACGCCAGCGAGGTCGGGAACTCAAAGTCTGCCATAGATTTGATTTTATTATTGCTCAGATATAGAGTGTTCAGATTCGACATTTTTGATATAGATTCTGGAATAGTCGTCATTACGTTTTCCTCTAGATAAAGGTATGTCAGTGACGTAGGGAGCACACCCGAAGATGGGGTTGAAATATTGTTGTAATCTAGATATAGTTCTCTCAATTCAGACATAAATAACAGGTCGGGTATTTGAGTAAGGCAGTTAGAGGAGAGACTTAGGTATCTCAAAGAGTTTTCGCTGGGTATTAGGGCGTGAGGTATGTGCTTGTAGTCACAGATTCTGTTATTAGATATCTGGAGACGCTCAATACCAGTCAAATAAAACAGAGGGCCGATATTGTCGATGTGATTGCTGTCCAGGCGTAACTCTGACAAATTGAGACGGACTTTTAAATCTTTCAGGTTGTTGAGATCGCTTATTGAATTTGACGCCAAATCGAGACTGGTCAAACACGGGATTAACACCACGACTTCTTCTGGAATTTTCGTTAGGTTGGAGTCCCAGATCGCCAGATGTTTAAGGTGACTGGCTGATGGGTCCAGTGGCTTACTACTCAACTGTCCAAAAGTAACAGTATCTATCTCAAGGGTGTCCAACTTTACCAGTAGCTTAAGCCAATCTGATGGAAAGTTTGGCATCGTCAGATATGACAGACGTAGAGTTTTCAACGATGCTCCAATGCTGGCCAAAATGGTTGTGTTCCAAGTGAGGACAGGACTATTGTACCAACTCAATTCCTCGAGAGAACTGAGGTCCATCAAGGCCCACGGTAAAGAGGTCAGATTAGTTAACCAGAATTCGAGTTTCTGAAGACTTTTGGCAGAATAAATGAAGGCGTGATCTGCGATTGTGGTCAGGGAATCTTCTTCCAAAGTTATATCTTGTAAATTGGGAACCAACTCGCAGTCATTGATGACTGATATGTTGTTGCCCTGAAAAGACAGAATTATTCGAAAGTTTTACAAAATGATGGAAGATATGCCGTTAATTGGACTTATCGCTAATTATAATATATAGCTACATATAATCAGATGGGAAATTGGAGACTACTAACTGATGTTGTTGGTTTCTATATTAGTATATCAGATTGATAACTATAAATAATATAGTATACCACTTATTACAGTTATCGGCTACCAGTTAGACACATGTGTAATCAAGTGATAACTAGTATACTGCTTATTACAGTTATCGGTTACCAGTTAGACACAATACAATCAAGTGATGACTAGTATACTGCCCACTGGAGTTATCCGTCATTGATTT